TGATTTTACACAAGTAGCCTTACCGAAGACCAGTGCCTGCGGTCATGCATTTGGAACTGCTCCATAACACAGATAGCCGGGCAGACGGCAAAAAGGAAGGTGAAGAGGCACAGACGGAACCTGTGAGAAGAAAGACATTGTTGGCTATTTCATGAAAAACTTAAGGAAGAACAGCTAACAAACGTGTGGCTTGTCCATAGCAAACCCGTATACTGGTGCAGGCAAAGGTTTTCAGGCGAAACAGGTCTAGGTCTGTATTTATTGTAGAACCATCCAATGCGAAAGTTTCCCTACCTGAAGTATCTTAAGAGATTCTCAATTAAAAGAGAATTAAAGGGTAGGATCGTGACCACTTAGCATTAAAACAGCAACTAATGCCGTCTATAATTGTTTCTCTGAACTAATTCGCTAAGTAAGGTACGTATGCTGACTCTCGGCTCGATTTAGTTTAAATTTGACGTAGTCGAATAGAGAAACAGTTTCTTAGCATGCTAGTGCTAGAAATGATGCTAGGTTTACGACATAAGTCATTAATTAGTCAGTATGTCGTAAATATTTCGTCAGCATGTGTCTGTTACTACTGTAGGATATTTAGGACCGGTGTCATGAAACCCTACCCGAAATACCAAAACGCCTTTTAAAATAAGGGATCATGCTAATGTCATATATTCACCTTATGATATTGTAGGTTGATCCAGGTATATTCCCGACACCAATATATTCTCGGCTACCCAACACAAAATGCAATTTTTGTGTAAAACGTATTTCTCTACTTACCTAATTTTTATAAAATGTGGGCAGTCATACAAACTCTTTATTGATCTGAGAGAAAATCCAAGTTTCTTCACAGTATATGCTTAAATTACATTCATAAGCTGTTATAAGAATATGCTCTATAGGATTATAACAAAACACTCCGATATTTTATTTTTGGCTCCTATGGCTCATTTTCAGGTCTTTGGATTCACTTCAGGAGACCGAATTTTACTAATCTGAACCATGATAACTTACGTCATGCAGTGTTATAACGAGAGGGTTACGCGTCAGCCCAGCTGCTGGCTACCCGACACGTCCACTGGTAGCGGATAGTGGAACGACCTTCTGTGAAGGTCAGCTGTGAAATAAGCGAACTATCGGGTCTGACGAATAAGTAGTCGCGGACCAGCAGCGGCAGTCTACCAGGGCGCGGCGGGCTGAGGCCTAGCAAGCCTATAAAGTGTCGCAGAGCCTGACGATGGCACTGCGGCATGGCAAACGTGAACCGCCATTAAATACGTTTACTTACTACCACTACATTGTGTGGTCAAGCTATTGAGCCACAACGCTAGGGGAGACAACCCCCGCTTTTTGACTTTGCG